TTTCAAAATAACTGTAAAAGTATTTGAAATTTTTAGTCTTCTATGAAATTTCATTGCATGGCTAATCATTTATGTAAAGCATTATACATACACAAAAAAAGTCCATGATAAACTTCTCTTTCTGCTTTTTAACTGCTACAAAAATTATATGATAGTAAAATTCATTATAGAAAAGTGTTTTTGCAGAGAAAGTACATTATACAAATTCTATAAAAGGCCAAATCTGTCACAGCCACAATGAGTTTTAAAATGCATGCAATAAACTGACAGCTCTTTTAATTAACTTTTTAAATAAAGATTAGATAATATATGATTTTTCTTTTATGATAGTGGAGCAGAATTTTTCATGAAACTTAATTATACTACAAAACAAATTATACTACAAAACAAATTATACTATAAATATATATATAGGTGTATTATTATAAATTAGTTATTTAAGAGCATACAATACATACTTTATAGTTTTTGAGCTTTAATTCCAGTTTATACATGCTCAAATTAGTAGCATGATACAACACAGAAAAATGCGAGATCAATATTAATGATAATAAAGGAGTGAAATATAAATAGCTGCATTTATATCAAATTTGAATAACTGAAGGTCTGATTTAAGCAATAAAAATTATACATGAAATTATATTTTGGGAACAAAAAATGTAATTTTTTTTCATTTTAAAAATGCAAACGTTTGTAAGAAAATAATTTAATGTAATAAATTAAACAAATGGAGTAAAATATAAAAACCTCTTAAATAAAGTTCAAAGTATAAATTACAAATCCAGAGAAATTTGTTAAACTTAAAAAAAAAAAAAATTAAAATTAAAATTTAAAAAAAAAAAAAAAAAACCTCAATTTGATGAAACAAATAATTTATTTATAAAGCTCAAAGAATCTTACTGTTTAAGAATTTTTATATGAAACATTCATTAAAAGCTTATGGCACTGTAAACAATCTAACCATCATCTTGTTTATATAAACTTATTATTCTTATATCTCAAGCCATTTCGTAAAGACTTCAAAACCTCAGTGATAAATCACATCAGCAGTATAAAGAAGCTAACTACATTTCAAACTATCATGTATCAAAGCTTTTGATAGAATTCCATTGTATGCATCTTATTTTTATTAACATAAATACAGAAATAAAAATTGCTGAAAATAGAATATCTGCACCTTAATATCTGCTAAAGCATTACAAAGCATGTGAAAAAGGCATTTCAGAATCCTCAACTTTTTTGCTTGCAAATGACACTAATAATAAAAATTAACCAATGCTTTACAGACAAAAGCTATAAAACTTGAACTTTTCAGTATTAATTCCCCCTTTTTAATCCTTTAAGCAAACCATAATAGGATTTAAAATTTTAAAAATTTGCAGCTCTGATATCCACTTAATTTTCAGCTGATTCTACACAATTTTCTCAGCTCAAAAGCATTAAATGCAGGTGCTTCTATAATCCATTATCTATACCACAGATGAGAATATTCTAGAGACATCATAATTCATGAGTAGAAAACTTTTGATATTTATACTCAGTTTAAATAACACTAATATAGAATATGAATGATTCAGATACAGGAGATAAATTGTAATTACTCTAACAGATTTGCTAAGATAAAAGTGACGGAGATTGAAACTACGCGCATTATAAATTACATTGTGAACAAGTAAATATATAACATTTTAAACTAATGGAAGGCACTAAGTTACAATTCAAATTCTACAACTTTAAATTACATTAAGATGACATTCATATTCATATAATTCACAATGACATTCAAATTCAGGTAATTAAGAACTAAAACCAAGTCAGGCTTTGTGATTACTTCTTTCCAAAAAATTAAGGCATGATATAAAAATCAGATTACAAGAAATGCAATAATGACAATAGTTCATAAAAATATCTTTGCTTGAGCAATAATGAGCAAGCAGGAACTGCATCTCTTAATCTTGTATACAATACATAGCGTAATTACAAGTGATAATTTTAAAATGTTATACTCATGTTAGTTTACTATCCATACAATATTCATAAGACTCGGAAATTTATTACAAGTCTTCTGAAAACAATATACAATTATATTTCACAGAATGTATTTAAAAAATTACAGAGGAGTTTAATTCATTTCATATTTTTTACGGAATAGCTGGAAAGAAATTCCAAAAACCTATTACTACATGCAAGTTTCCTACAATACTTAATTATGCAAATCTATGCTCTTCTGAAATTCTATTATGAGTATATTTCAATGTTAAGTAAACATCATGCTTTAAAATTTAAAATCTTTTAAAATAATTAAGCAAGTTTTTTGTTAAAATTAGATATACACTATGAAATAAAAATGCAATACCATGTAAATATATTTTGTGTTGTTAAATGGAAAAAATTCCAATCGTTTGAAGGGGAAGATAACTGGATCAGATACTATTCAAAAGTTTTAGACAACTGTGAGATGTTTTCCAAACAAGAAATATTCAGCTAATTTCTAAAAGTGCCCATATTAAAGTATTAATTATTTCAAATTTCACTACTCAAGTTAGTGTTAAAGTTATTACTTTCTATATTTATTTCTGTAGCATGCTTTGTTTAAAGGTTGTTAATGTCTCCAGGTAATTATAAACTACCCACATCATATGAATGAATTATTACTGCATGTCACAAAGAAAGGCCTTTTTAAAGTTCATGCATATAATAACCTTAGATATGGGGGGTGAGAGATTCATCAAATTAGTCCTCAAATTTATATTCCAATGTTTAGCTTCTTCATAAAAATACACAGTTTATGTGATTAGATTTCATTCTTATGGCACAGAATGGATGGCATGGACTTAGTATTTGTGCTTTAAAAGAAAAATAACTAATTAAAGTATGACACTAATTAAAACATGGGAAATAAAATTAATACATGATTAACCATACAGTAAATACTAAACAAATGCAAATGTAATAAAGAGTGAATTTATAAATAAGAATACGAAACAAGATTTAAACATTAAATCTATCCTATTCAAATAATTTCCATATGTAAAAAATATATTAATGCTAATTACATAACTGAAAATATATCAACAGTGATAACATAGAACACATTTCTAAAAATGCAAAAAGTAAAATTTTACAATTAATTTAGAAGCTCACATATATTTTGAATAACAGATATCACAATTACTCACTAAGTAGCAATTTTATGCAAAATAATGTGTTATAAATATTAATATTAATTACAACTATTCAGTGCTATATAATTTTACTAACTATCATCATAATGTAATCACATTAAAATATAACTTCATATATTTTTCCACTGAAAGCAATAAGAATTATATTAGATACTATGATACAATTATAAATAATGACTTATATTTTTACACTAACTGCTTTTCAAACTTTATTCAAAATTTATGAACTTCATTTAACAACAGCATTATCACAGCAGCAGTAAAAAGCTCTTAAAATAACTGATTTGCTTACATTTAAGCAACGTATAAGCACCTTTTATTGTGCTTGGCTAAAGAGCTGGTTATCGTTATCTAGATCTAACAGCTAATATATAAAAGCATCTTGTAGGGAAGAGGTAGATTTAGATTCAGAGATTTTTTTTAAAACCGGGCACTTAGGGCATTTAGCTTAATCATACTTAAAATAGTTAAATATTATATAAGCATTTATATTATCATAAAACTAAATTCATGCAATTTTTTAAAAATAGACATATATGCAGTCAATTCCCCTTTCATCTGGGTAGTACGAGGAATGATGCTCATATTCAACTTTGGCAGTAAATCTAAAAGCAGTTTAAAAAGAACACGGTAAAGTGGGACATAACAGATTATAAGTAACAGAAAAAATATTGTTAATAGTTTACTTTGTTTTAAAGTAGCTTAACCTGAAAATAAGTTCACTTGGTTATATAAATTAATCAGTATTCAAAATATTGCGAACAATGGAAGAATAAACATCATGAACTATGAAGAAACTAAGATTAGTGGCTGTACACTTAAATTTATTGACACATGCATATTTTCCCATCAAACATTTTTGACAAACAAAAACCGTTACCAAGCTATGTGATTTAAGATAAATAATGGTTAAGCATGACATTGTAACATGCACATCAGATTTTTGTTTTGTTTTTAGCAACAATGATCCTTAATAAACCACTTAAGTTTTTGTAAAAAAGGATAAAAGTTAACTGCTATTGCTCTGTTTTGCTCTTGTGTTCTGGAAAAAAAAAATGCCTTTTAAGAAATAGCAAGCATTAGAATATTTTTAAAATCATGGGACACATTATACTGGTGCACATAACTCAAAACTTCAGGAGTTTAGCAGATGCTGCAGGAAGCCATGCAACTGCATATCATTCAGTTCCTATTTAAAGGAATTTATGCTGTGCCTAATTCCGAAAGATAGTAATTATTTTGTTGCTATATTAAATACCATTAGGGAATTCTGGTTGTTAGAATGACTGGCACAACTTTTAATAAATTTGTTTGCCAGATAATCTCAAAACTTGATCTCCTATTTCTTTTTTCTTGACCTCCTTTCTAAATTCTTTATATGCTATATCTGTAACTTATCGATTGTTGTTTATCTCATAAAGAATAATCTCTGACTGTTTAATGAAATAAAGAACAATCAGTTCCTTCAGTCTTCTACTGGAATTATTGGAAGAAATAAAGTAACAAGAATCAGTGTAATATTAAAAAACTTGCAGAGTTTTGAAAGTTTAAATATATAAACTTCTTCTTCAGCTGCAGAATTGCAAAGCTTAAATTTAATTCAATTGCACTTCTGCAGCTGAAGAAGTAGGTCCTGCTTTTAAACTTTCAAAACTAGTCCTGCAAATTTATGAATATTACACTTACTCATATTACTTTAATTCCTCTAACAATCATTACTGGGCATGTTATTTTGACTCAAATTCCACTAAAATGATTGGTGAACATTTTGTGAGATATCTGCTAACTTTCAGAGTCAATGGAAAACTATATAAGTACTGATTTATTTTTATTAATGAACAACAGATAGACAATTTACTAATATACTAACATAGAATTTAACATTGTTTATATATTTTACATATTATTGTTTATATATTTTTCATTATGTACAGTTAAATCATGCACTGCTGCACTTAACACTATAACTCTTAAACACTATAACACCATTCCCTGCTGGTATTCCATGCATTTTTTTCATAGTATTTTCTGCAGCTAATTTTGTTTCACACTGATATATAGTTTGTAACAGCAATTTTCTCCTTATTCCAGAATAAACAATTTTAACTTTTTTTTTAAACGGTGTTTGATAAATCTAACTCACTAAATCTATATTTCCATTCCAGTAAGGCCCACCAGCGGCCGAGCGGTAAAGATGCTGAAAACTGGTAGTTCGGTCCGAGGTTCGAATCCCGCAAACGGGCTGGCTGCATGGGTGTTTTCATGGTTTTCCCCATGTGTAACTTGTATATGAGCCAGTTTCCCTTAGAAAGTCCTCCACAAAAGGCATCCCTCCCTTTAGGCAGATAGCCCTTGTGTGCTTTGCCATAACTGAATAATCCAAATCCATCCATTCCAGTAAACTGGGACTTGGCAACACACATGTATGCATACTTAAAATATACAAAAATGATGCAACTTAATATTTTATTATTAAATAGCAATTATTATTATTTTCTCCCAATGGCAGACACTTGCCTATAATGGCATAGGCCACTCTTAAGGCTAGAATTGGTGGCCATTTTATTGTGAAGGCACCTAATAGGCGGCCACCGTTACCTCTTATGAAGGGATAGACAATTTTACATCCATGCCTTCTCCTGGATTGGAACCTGGGCCCTTCAGTATCGCAGTCAGGCTCCCCTAACCATTATACCATATGGGTGGCAATAACAATTATATATGTCATTATAATTATTATACACAACATATTATTAGTTTATGAATAAATTAATTCATATTTTAAGATTAAATCTTGATATACATAGTTTTTATTTCTTTATTACATTTATTAATTATTCTGTTTTGCTAGCCTATCTAACATTTTCAAATGAATAAAAGAGCTAAGATAAAGTCTATTCCAATTTAATCTGATTTTTGACTGAAATTCATAATTTTGATCTTAAAAATGGCAGGTATGCAATTTATGAACTTTCAATTTACAAACTACAATTGTCAGTTCCATTATTTTTTCAAATATAAAACTGCCATTATAAACTTTTTCTGTTCCCATTTAATTCCAAAGCTAAAATGTTCATTCATACTTGTATATGATAAAATATATATACTTATTTTAGCCAAAAGTGCAAAACTGCAGACAAATGAAACACACACACACACACAAAAAAAAAAAAAAAAAAAAAAAAAAATTCAATACTGAACTAATGTTTGCACTGTACGACTACGTAAAAAATAAAACAAAATTAAATGTTCTATATTGCAATTACTGCATTACTGAGATCTTGTAAAAACACAAAATCGGTTCTAAATAAAGCATTAATTTAAGCTTATGACTAAATGAAACATAAAAAGCAAAATCCTGTTTCAAATACAGATTTTTCTCATTTACTTTAAGTAAATGGCCATCGTGCATGTATAAATATTTTTTAATGTGTAATGTAATAAAGGAAGACACAAATACAAGATTTAAAAAAAAAAAATAAGAATCAGTAACTGACAAATACATCTAAAAATATCTTAATAAATATTACTAAAATCTAAGCAATGAAACTTCCAAAACTACAAGTAAATGTATGGAAACACACTATGATACACATATAACAAAATCAAGAAATGCTACATCTTCAGTGTTTACAATGTGATTCACAATTTAGAATACCTTTAACATTTACCTTTTTAATTTAGATACATACCTTTAACATTTTTAAGAAATAAAGTTAAAACAATATTTTACCATATTTAAGGCATTTCATAATATTGAGAAGTGATAGCCAACACAATACTGGCAAACTGCTACTTCAAAATTACACATCAGAAATCCTTCGACCTTTAATGCTTCCTTCAGAAATCTTTTGTGAAGTCACAACTATTTCAGGATTTGCTTGAGAAGTTTTACATTGCTTCTCCCCAGTTGGCTGCTCCTTACTCAGTCTTCGGCTGAAGAGACTTCTATGGGTTGGAATTTTATCAGCAAATGTGGGGGAATTGATTTCTGTTGGGCTCACTGGTTGACTAACAGTACGCAGAAATTTATGTCTTTTATTTTGAGCATAAAATTTCTGCAGGCCAGATAAACTTGCTGAATCACAATCTTTATGATATCCATCAATGCGCAGACTAACAGCTCTCTTTGCTCGAAACTTAGAAAATAGTTTCTTTTGTGGCAAAACTGTATGAGTTGGTTTCGTTGGAGTATCATGAAGCAAAGAAATATTATTACCAGAATCATCAGCTTTGACATCAGAAAACACATCATCTTCATTTCCCTGTTCGGCCTGGGCAGAATTTTTCGCACTCTCGTCACTGAGTTTCCCATTAGAAGGAGGAGTGGATTCTAACGAACTATCAGCATTTACAAGAGTGGATGTACTGGGCTCCTTAGCTAATTTACCAAGGACATGATCGTCTGATGACATAGTTGAGGCTTCACTGTGGTGATGTCTTTTAATGGATATTGGTTCTGAAGCTGATGGACTTTTTTGCACTGTAGAAAATAAAATATGCTTTAATTACATTTCTATAATTCAAAATATAGGGTGATTCATAATTCTCTCAAGTACAACAGAATACAATAGAGTAAAATTCCAACAATCTCTTATTCAATTAATCGAAAAGTTCAAATAATTGGAATACTTCAGAATTTTAGAAATGTTTTTAATGAAAAATTATGTAATAAGAGATTTATAAAGCCACCATAAAGCATATATAGGACTATTACTTGGAACCCTGCTTATAGCATCTAAAATGTGACATGACAAAAATTTAAAATTATATGGCTCTCTTTCAGAAGATGTTGATTACTTCCCCCCTCCTGCTTCCCTTGAGTTGCACTCATCAGATTATTCCAAGAATTCAGAACTCTCTTCACTGGGAAGTTAGCATAGAACAGGAACATGTGAAAGATTTCAAAGTTCATGACAGAGATTGAGTCAGAACCTGCCTTCACTGAAACAGCATAGAGTGAAATATTTTCTAAATTACGATTCTGGCATTAAGAAAGGTGTAATGGTCATGATATGCACCTCTGAAAAAGGATACACAATGGCGATCACATGTGAAAAGTTATGAGAAGTGACTTAAGTTTTTTATATGTTATACCTATAATTTGTATTTTTCAGCTATCTAACTAAAAAGAAAGATCCATCTGTTCCTTCAAATATCTACCTTCAAAATTCTTCAAATTAGAAGGAACTTGGCAGACAGTCAACAAGGTTTCATAATCAGATTATGCTTCACATTTGTATATTATCGACTCTTACGTCTGACATGAATCCCTCCTGAAAAATCTTCCACAGTTTTCACTTTCTAGCAGGGTGCTCTCTACACCAATGCAAACAGCCATGTGTATTTCTAGGTATACTATTTCATAAATTTAAAATTGTTATGATTCTTACCACTGAAATTATGTTGTTAATAAAGTAAGTTTTTCCTCCCAACAAGTTTTATTTATATTACTAGATTACATTTTTATTTAAAGAAAAGAAACAATACAAGAAAAAAAAACCATCAAACAATAAAACTAAAACAACTAAACAAACAATAAAGATTTCCTATAAAAATAAACCTTACTTCCCTAAAAACAGATATAAAAAAATTACCATTATGATAGCATGTATTTTTGAAATACAAATGGAGGGCATTTGTATTCCTATTAAAGCCTCAAAATTAAGATGGTGACTAAAGATACATCAAGAGAGTGAGAAGATTAGCCAGTATCAGAAGTTCATAGTTCTTTCTGCTTTACAGATATAGAAGCATATTTAACTCAAATGTGTTTCTCACATACATGCCTTCTGGAAGGTTAAATGTAGGCCTATATTCAAGTTAATACATGATAATATTCTTCTACAGTTTTTTCACACCTTCCATGATATAGTCAAGCTTTTATTTTAATTATAATAAATATAGCAGAAAAGTGCACCAAAGAATTTCTACAAGTTTGCATTCATAATGGACCATATTATGCAACTGTAGGTTTAGTCACTAAGCAGTCATAATGCTAAATGACTGCATGATGCAAATATGGCATTCTACAGTGAGCACAAAGATTATTGTGACTTAGAATTCAGTATGAACCAGATGTGATGGTGTGATGCAAATTTTCTTTGAGAAATTAAACAAATATTTATTTGCAGAACAATTTGCACATGGTACAACAAGTTCGGTAAGACAAAATTACTTATACAACATAATATGAACAGGTTAGTTGGGACCATTAATTGATATTGAAGTCTGCCACATGATAAAATGTATACACATTAAGAACTTGTACAGTCAAAAGTCTTTAATCCGGACTCGTCGGGACTTCGGCGATTCTGGATTATCGGATTTTCTGGATTATAGATCATCAGTTTAAATCTGGTAAGATGGCATGCAGAATTGTAAAATTAAAAATATGAAACCGTAATTTATGAAATAAAGAGCAATTATGATCTAAAGGATAACAAAATTTACAAAAAAAAAAAAAAGCTTAATATTTATTTGTTTACTTTATTAAACATTTCTTTCAATGTGCGCATGCGTAAAGCATACATTATGCATAATCGAAATTAGAAAATTGTAACCAGAAAACTATTTGATGTGTATTTGTGATATTTATAATGACGAGGAATTTGATTGAAATCATATCAAAGATGGAGTACATCGAGATGAAATACTACTGTGATGCTTCTTTGGCGATATGAAGCAACTCCAATGATGGAACACAGCAATAACTTTTATTTAACACTAAAAAAAATGGCGACATACAAACAAGAAGAGAAAACATATTCTAACATTTAAAAATAAATTACATTCTTTGTGCGAGAGTCGCACGTTGCACTCGAGTCTGGTTTCAAATATTGCCATTCACAAATACCTCAATGTTCATCTATTTAAATTATTTAAACTACAAGATTTTAATAATATGTAAAGCTGTTACAACCTCTCCCCCAACGGAGAGACTTTTACCGAAGGGAAAAGTTCTGTAAAAATTCGAAAGTTTATAAGCTCGGCTTCGCTCAATTTGCTTAAAGAGTAAAGGTAATTTCTCTTATAAATTTCACAAATTTCAGGCCAAAGATTTTAAGTTTTAAATAAATACTTTTACCACCACATTTAAATAAAAAGGAAATGGAGAATCGTTCAAATACATCAGTTGAGCATACATTAAATAATAAATAAATTCTAAACGTGGTTACATACTCTTATTATATCAGTATTACTCTTATATTATTTATATTACTTAATTCTACTCAGAACATCTACGTTCTTGTGCAAAGATCCTTTGCGATGAATGACCTTAAAATTATAAGGTTGTAATGAGAGTGCCCAGCGCATCAATCTAGAGTTACATTTGGCGTTGGATTGTAGCCAGACCAAAGGGTTATGATCAGTTTGAATCAAGAATTCTTGCTGACCATCCAGATAAAAATGCAATTTCTTGATAGCGTAGATGATAGCAGCGCACTCCTTTTCAGTAGTACAATAATTCTTTTCAAACTTAGTAAATTTTTTGCTTATATACAAGATAGGATGTTCATGTTGTTCATCATCTAATTGGCATAGTACTATACCCATGCCATTGTCTGAGGCATCGGTTTGTATAATAAACCTTTTATCAAAGTCGGGAGCATACAGAATTGGTTTCCTGCATAGCAACTCTTTTAAATTTTTAAAAGCTTTGTCACATATTTCAGACCATTGTATATTTCCTTTTTTTGTTACCCCCTTCAAAGCGTCCGTGAGGGGTGAAGCAATTTCCTGAAAATCTCGGTATGTACTGGCGATAATACCCTACCAGTCCTAAGAAAGCACGTACTTCTGTTTTGGTTTTAGGTGTAGGATACTCCTTTACAGCCAGGATCTTTACTTCATCCGGGGTTCGTTGTCCTTGTTCCACAACATGGCCTAGGTATCTCACTTGATCTTGTGCAAATTTACATTTTGATGGTTTTAGTCGTAAGTTTGCTTTCTGTATTCTCTCTAGAACAGAAGTTAGGTTTTTAAGGTGCTCTTCCCAGTTTTCTGAGTAAATGGCAATGTCATCCAGGTATGGTACAGCGAATCCTTCGCATCCAGCCAGGACTTTAGTCATAACTTTGCTAAAAAAAATATGGGGCATTTTTTAATCCAAAGGGTAAACGTAGAGGCCTGAAACTTCCAAAACTAGTTACAAATGTTGCATATCTTTGGGCTCTTTCTGTTAACGGAATTTGCCAGTAGCCTCTAGATAAATCTAATAGGGTAATATATTTTGCTTTTGCTACAGTTTCGATACGTTCTTCAATATTAGGCAAAGGATAGTATTCAGTTTTAGTAACAGCATTGAGTTTACGATAATCAATACAAGGCCGAGGATCCTTTGATGAAGATTCTATCAAAATCATGGGAGATGTATAGTCCGATTCTCCCGGCTCTATATATAATTTTAAGATCGAGCATTTTCTGGATTTCCTTTTTGAGAATTTCAGTCTGTCGGGGTGACAGTCTGTATGGCTTTATTTGTATTGGTTCGTTTTTTATTTAATAGCTCAATATCGTGACAAACTAAGTTTGTTAGTCCAGGATTATTTGAAAAACAACCAGAATATTTCCAAAGAATCTTTCGTAAATCTTCTATTTGCTCGGGTTTCAACCTTTTCTCGAGTTCATTCTCCTCTATGATGTCCGAGAAATTTAATATACTTGGATTGGAAGGTAAAAAATGAGGAATGTCCATTTCTAAGTCTCCTTCCACTTCAGTTATCATATTAATCATTTCTGGTCTTTTGTAATATGGTTTAAGCATGTTAATGTGATATACTTGATTTGGCTCATTTTGTTCCTCGAAACTTACAATATAATTGGTTTCTGAAATTTTCTGCTCTATTTTTCCAGGTCCTTTCCACTGTACTTCTAGTTTTTACTTTGACGATTCGTTGATAAAACAAGAACTAAATCTCCTCTAGCAAATTCTCTTTTCACTGCGTTTCGATCGTACCATGTTTTCCTCCGTTGTTGAGCTTCTTTCATGTTTTCCACGGCAAGTTCTTGGCATTTCTTCATTCGATTAATAAGTTCGAAAACGTAACTGACAACATTATTACTTTCTTCAATCGGTTCTAGCCACTGCTCATAAAGTAAAGTGACTGGCGTTCGTAGGTTTTTGCCATGAACTAATTCTGCTGGTGTAAAACCAGTGCTTTCGTGTGTGACTGTTCTGAGAGCAAAAAGAACTGATGGTAGATAATTCTCCCAATCAGAAGTCGCTCCTATACATACGACTCTTAACACCCTTTTTAGCGTTCTATGGAATCGCTCAACGGGATTACTCTGCGGATGATACACAGAGCTTCTTACATGTTTAATGCCGAAACGCTCCAAAAATTCCTCTGTCAAAGCACTGACGAAAGAGGTCCCCTGATCTGAAACCCATACGACTGAAAATCTGTAAGAAAGCATCAATCACAGATGGCGAAGAAATGTCTGTCACCGCAACAGCATCTGGATATTTGGACGACATACACAGAGCTGTAATAATATATTTTTTCCCAGTCTTTGAAATAGGTAGCGGACCAACGGCATCGACATTTATTTTAGTGAATATTTCGGAAATTACTGGTACTAATGTCATTGGAGCCTTCTTTTTGTCATTTCCTTTTCCAGCGCGCTGACAAGCATCGCAGGTTCTTACAAAATCTTCAGTTTCTTTGTAACACCCTCGTCCAATAAAAATATCTAGCAAGTCTGTCTTTGGTCTTTTTGACACCCAAATGACCAGAAGTTCCTTCGTGGCACATCTTTATAATTGACAACTTGAGTTTTTCAGGTATAACTACAAGCTGTCTTTCAAAGCCCATTTTATCAGTCGTTTTTTTAACTAAAAGCTCTTTTCTTGTCAGACTATAGTTTTCATTTTTGCATGTACCTTCTTTAACTTCTTGGATGATTTTAGACAGTTCCTTATCAGTAAGCTGAAGTCGTGCAACTTCTTCTGAGTCAATTTTTACCAGTTTCATGAGAGCTTCATCTTCCGTATTTAGTTCCGGTAAATTATCTTCTTCTTCAAAAACATCTCTGGATGCTTTATTTTCTTCCTTCATCGGTTCCAAGAGCTTCTCTTCAGCTATTTCTCTTTTCCTTTGAGCTCTAGTAGAGACAGCATTAACCTGGTGAGGACAACTATCAGGCTCCTTTCCTTGTTTATTCAACAGTGCAAAAGTTCGATTGCCTAATAAATACCTTCCTTTGTCGAGTTCATTTCTAATAATGGCAGCCTTAGTTATTACTCGCCCAAGATCGCAATTTAGTTCGATCTCAGCCAATGGTTAAACAGGTTGGATTCAAGTCTAATGGCTGTTGCACCCACACATTTTCACCTGTCAGCATTTCCGGCGTGATGTATTTGCGACAAACTATATCAATACTAGCACCTGAATCCCTTAATATAGGAATTTTATGACCATTTACATAACCCATACTAGTATAAGGTAATAGAAATTTATCCTCTGGTTTTGCACTAATTCTGTTAAGATTAGCAGGAGATTCAGTACTATTCTTAAGTTTTGGACATTGGGGCCCTAAATGTTGATAGGACCCACACTGATAGCATTGTGGCGTCTTTCGTTTTTCATATTTATCATCTGGACGTGGACTTCTAGGTCTATGAAACAAATTTTGCGTATTAAATCCTGATGACATTTGTTTTCAGTTTTATTTTTATTATCTGAACTCAATTTACCTTGAGTTAGTGACCTTGAGTTAGTGCATTGTATCTTTCTTTCTGCCTATCCACTACAGGCTTTTTTTTTAAAGTTTTCGCAAACGTTTTCATAGGCATCAAGTTTTTCAGCTAATTTTTTAGATGAAATCATCTCTACCCACTCATCAAGAAAATGATCTCGAATTTCAGGAGGAACTCAACGCTTAAGTTGGTCAATCACCATCAAATCTAGCAACTGATCAAAAGTCTTAACTCCTAGACCAGTCACCCATTCCTTGCAATAATTTTCTATTTTATAATTGAAATCCACCCATGTGGATTCGGTACTCTTTTGATGTTTCATAAATTTCTGCCTAAACTTTTCCGGGCTTAGTTTAAACCGTCTTAACAATAAATTCTTCACGTGTTCATAGTCTTTAGCTTTATCGGAGGGTTCTCTAGCTATTAACTGGGTTACTTCGTAAGGAAGTAGTCCTAGTAAATGAGATACAAATTCTTCTTTATTAATTTTAGCCCATTCTGCTTGCCTTTCAAACAATAGCAAATATAGACTGATATCTCCTTTCTTGTCATCGAATTTCTGCATAAGGTGACGCAGCTCCGTTTTCGGCCGGATCTGTCCGGTATTTTGAGACTTTGTCTTAATCTCTCTAATTCATACTGTTCGTTCCTTCTCCGCTCTTCTGCTTCTTCCTGTCTCCTACGTTCTTCTCTTTCCCTTTCCTCCCTCTCTTTCCGTTCTTCTTTTTCCCTTTCCTCTTTCTCTTTCCGTTCTTCTCTTTCCTCTCTCTCTTTTCTCCCTCTCTTTACGTTCTTCTATTATTGTGTCTAAGACTCCTTTGACGAATACTTCATAATCACTACTTTCAACAATTTTCTGTTTTAAATCGACTATTTTCATATCTGCAGTCACTGAACTCCCAGTTCAGCCGCGAGATTTTGCAAATCTTCTTTACGAGCTCTTCCCAAGTAGGACATTTTTTTATGTTTAAAATTAACGAACACTGTGTTCTTTATATTTCCTCAAAATAGCTCAATTCAATTACTTTAGTTAATTAATGCAGTCAGGAATCACGAAATTAAATGCACTTTATTAAGTACGTATACCTCAAAAATGAAATATTTAAATTATATGAAGTTCATTCTCTCTACCACATTAATTGTGATTAAAATAAGAATAATAACATAGAGCAATATATATATCTACCGTCTGGACAACTAAAATGAATATTAAATATAATATCAAATACGGTAATAAAATAAGACAATTTATTATTAACAGGAAGTAATAATCTGGTATCACTAATATTGCGTTCAGTGATGAACTAATAACATAAAGCAATTCTATATAAACATTAAGTAATAATCTGGTATCACTAATATTATGTTCAGTGATGAACTAATAAAATAACAATACGCACGATTATTCGATCTCGGTCAGTGCCTCCAAAATAATTAAGACTGTGATGCTTCTTTGGCGATATGAAGCAACTCCAATGAGGGAACACAGCAATAACTTTTATTTAACACTAAATAAAATGGCGACATACAAACAAGAAGAGAAAACATATTCTAACATTTAAAAATAAATTACATTCTTTGTGTGAGAGTCGCACGTTGCACTCGAGTCTGGTTTCAAATATTGCCATTCACAAATACCTCAATGTTCATCTATTTAAATTATTTAAACTACAAGATTTTAATAATATGTAAAGCTGTTACACTACATTTAGCAAGGAATTATAAGTTGAATAAAATAGAAACATCTGCCCTGAAGATAAGGATAGTGCTGACAGATCAACTTCCAGTTCATTGCATACTGCAATGTCCTGCCCCTGCAGAGCAGAGTGAAATTGATAAACAGATTTTGGAATGGTTAAATAAACAAAGGATATGCCTTTATCTATTTTTTGCAGCAATTCCACTTTTTGTTTGATGGACATCAAAAACATGCTTTTGCTTTGTAGATTCTTTGGCAGCTCCAGAATCGGAAATGCTTTTTGACATAATCGAAAGGTCAAGCTTACTTTTATAAAATTGCTCTAACAGTCTGCAAAAAATAATAAGACGGATTCAATTAGAAGATTAAGGAACAACGCAATCTGCAACATTAACTGAAATAGATAATCAGATAATTTTAGCTTAGCTTATATCGTCCGTTATACATTAAACGCGCATGCGTAAAGCTATTATGTGCATTTCTGCGCATGCATAACCGCATTATGTATTTATGCATGTGCAGAAAGTCCGTAGCTTTGAGGTCCAGATTATAGATCATTCCGGATTATAGATGTCCAGATTAAAGACTTTTGACTGTATGGCACACAAAAAATCAAAGAGATTCTTTATATATTGATAAGAACCTTTATGCTACATTTATTACAGCTTCTGTACTATAAATTGTCAAAACTCTTGAGGAATTACAAATCATACTTTATGTAAATGTATAAAATGTGTTTTAATCATATTACGGTATCTCCACAATTTTTTATACATATATAACTAATCGAATGGGATACATTGTATATTGGAAAATGACCAAAACATATATGCTATATTAAACAATCATTCCAAATTGAGTTCAAAGTTTCATCTTTAGCAACAAGAATAAAGGTATAAAGAGATCCTTGATATGCATTAACAAAAGAAGTTTTGTTAATTACAATTTTTCATTAGAAGCATTACTTCAGCTTTTTCCTTAAACACCTGTTATTATTAGTCTTTTGTTCACTGAGTTTATAAACCATAGGTTATATATGTACTGAAAGCAATGGTTGCTCTACACTAAATATTAAAGTGAACTGCATTTGGTTTTAACAATTCATTTCAGTCAAACATGCATCCAGAATTTGAGCAAGGGGTTCTAAAATTATTCCAAAAAGTTTTAAGCACTAAAAAAATTCAAAGCGGGGCAAAACTGATATTAATCATTTGCTCCCAGAGAAATTCAACTTTTAATGAAGAATAGAAAACACTATCAGAGCCCATTAATGACATTAGGTGATTTTTTTAAATTATAAATATTCATTTAATATCATATAAAAATTATAATGATCATAGAATCAACTCTTTATGGCCGAATAGAAAACTTAAATGATAGGGAAAGGGGAATTTTTTTTTCCTCTCAAACCTTGCCAGTTTTCAATATTAAGCAGTTTCTGAACTTATCTGGTTAATAACACTTCAGTTAAAACAGAGCAAGAAATATTGAGATCCGTGTATCCAATGCTAAAGAAATCCATAAACAGATCTAGAAACAAAATTAGATTGCTTTCTCGGAGAACATTAAAAGTTGCTTATTGACTGATTATGTGTGAAGATACAGGCATTAAAGAAATTTAGCTGTGACACTTGTCTCACATTAATTGAAACATGGCAGGTGGAATGATAACAGAACTGACATATGATCTAGATACAAAATTACAAAAGTTGATTGCATTTCTATTTTAATCACAAGTGAAAGGAAAATACTAAAAATTTACTTCATGATTTTCACACAAAATTTAGGAATATGCAATATACTATTAAAGTTACTTAGTAATTTAAATTATTATATTTAATTATATTAGACATTATATGATTACATATTTAATTAATTAGATTTTCTTTAGAGAGAGCATAAAATTTTTCTTTACCTAAATCAATATTGCTTTTACTTGTTTCTTTAGGTTTCTCATAGACTTCTCTGACAGTAACTTCTTCATCAGAGTTTGTATTAGAATCTTTTCCATCCATATCATCACATGCTTCATCAACATTACTCCCAATATCCTATTTTGATGTAAAATATAGATTATTATTCATGCTGAGATTCAAATCTGAAGACACAAACTATTCAAGATGCTATATTAAACAATCATTTTTCTTATAATACAATAATATAAAACAGGTGTAAAAACTTTTGCAATCAAAATATACATAACCTAAAAATATTCATAAAATATCAATATGTTAATACGCAAAATAACTCTGACAGAATATCAGCAAAAGGAAGGAGAGAGATAATCTTGCAAATTATATGCAGACTCAAAAAATTTTCAGTGCTGATACAAATCTGTCAGCATGGTTAGGGTATTTTAGGAAAAAAAATGCAAGACATTTTATGAAAAATAATTTAAACAATAAAAAGGCCTACAATTTGTAAGTCAATCATGCTTCTTGCATGAAAAAAAAAAAAAAAAGTTGGTACAAAAATCTAAAAGGAAATGATAACCTGATAACCCAAGGAACTTGATCAACCAAAAAAAAAAAAAAAAAAAAAAAAAAAGACATACAAAGATTCTGTACATTTACATCCTTTTTTATTTGCCTATGTTTCAAAATTTGGTGAAAATAAGTCACAGCATAATAGTTAAATAAATTTGTAGCACACATAAAAACTGCCTTATTAGGGCGATGCTTTGCAACTTATGATACAACAGTTTCAAATGCTTTTAATATTTCCCTGATTTTATTGGAAGGTTGTTTCTTTATTGAGGCTATTTTTAACATCATTAAAATTCCTCACTCCCAATGAAGTCTTCTCCACAACTTCTTGCTGTGACACAGAATGCAGCTCCATATGCTCTTCAGTACTCAGCTCCTGGCTCTCTTCTTTTATTAGTTTATCGATGACATTGCTATCCACCTAGAGGTGAGCTAGAGCCCCATGATCTTGGTCAGAGATGCAAGTTCATCAATTACGAGGGCTATCCAGAAAGTAGATTACGTTTTGGAATAAAAAAATAAACAAAGTATAGGAAACAAATTTTATTATATACAGATGAAAGCCACACTCAAATACTACTTTTCTACATAGTCACCATACAAATTAAGGCATTTATCGTAGCGATGTACGAGCTTGGAAATTCCTTCGTCGAAAAATTCGGCCGCCTGCGCCTTCAACCACTTCGTTACCTCTTCTTGCAGCTGTGCGTCGTCATCAAAACGCTGCATAGCCAGCCACTTCTTCATTGCTGGGAATAGGTGGAAGTCGCTCGGTGCCAGGTCGGGACTGTACGGCGGATGAGGAAACAACTCCCACTTTAAGAACTTTACGAGTGACATTTGCCGTGTGGGGCCGGGCGTTGTCGTGAATGAAGAGCTCAACATTCCTCTGCGCTTGTTTTGAATTGCTCTTCTGAGTTTTTGGAGAGTTTGGCAATACCTTTGAGAGTTTATTGTAGTGCCTCTTTCCAGGAAGTCCACCAAAATTACACCTTTTCTGTCCCAAAAAACAGTCGCCATCATCTTCCTTGCCGACATTGTTTGCATGCATTTCTTGGGTTTTTGGGGGAGAACTTGTGTGCCCCCACTGCATTGATTGCAATTTCGTTTCACAGTTCACATGTTTCACCCATGTTTCGTCACCAGTAACGATGCGATCGAGTAAAGAGTCACCATCCTTATGGTTAAGCGTCCAAAAAGTTCAACGCTGCAGCCATTCGCTGATTTTTGGAATCCATCTTGCACAAAACTTGTGGTAACCAAGCTTTTCGCTGATGATTTTCGTGCAACAAACTTCGCGAAATTTGTGGAAAACTCAAAGAAAGTTCCGTTATTGTGAAATTTCGATTTTCACGGACTTTAGCATCGACTTTTTCGAGAAGTTCGGCGGTCACTATGCTGGGTCTCCCACTTCGATCTTCGTCGTGAACATTGGTTCGGCCATTTTGAAATCTTATGACCCACTGACGCACTCCACCTTCAGTGATAATGTTGTCCCCATACACTTCACGAAGCTGCCGATAGATTTCTATCGGTTTACAGTTTTTTGCAGTCAGAAACCTTATTACTGAGCGCACCTCGCAGCTCGCGGGATTTTCAATTAACGCAGACATTTCAAACCGTCACAGTATCTGAACGGAGCACAGCACGAACCTCTCACTAGCACGGCTAGATGCAGACTGAGCTGCGCAACGCTCTGACCCCAAGATGGCCGCGCTAGCCCCGCCCCTAGCGGACACAGACGGAAACGTAATCTACTTCCTGGATGGCCCTCGTACATATCCCACAAGCACTTGCTCAAACACCTCTGAGGCACTGAAGTGTTCAACAAAACTTCTTCCATGCAAAAATAAGGGTTTTCTTTGTGAGCCTCTCCCAAGCCTTGGCAATCATCTTGAGGCAGATAATGATTGAAAAACACTTTTCCAAAACTCTCTCAGAGTGAGATTGGCTCTTCCAGTTACCTTAAAACAATGTTTGAAGAATGCTTTTATATACAGCTTTTTAAAATTTGAAATGATCTGCTTTTTAATGGATAAAGAGCGTTGTCAGAACGCAAGAAATGGATCTTGATGAATTTAAATTCTTCAAGTATGTCATCTTGTAGTTCTGAAAGATGTGAGGAACTACTGTCCATAACAAGCAAGACAGAGTGACAAATTCATCACAAGTAGATAATTTTTTTACAGATGGAATTCAATCTACCAAAAAAAAGTCACCCAAGTTTTGTTTTATATCCATGCGCCATTTAGCCTGCTGTTCTGGACTTTATACTTCTTGAAAACTTCTGAATTATCAGGATGGTAAACAAGCAGCAGTTTAGATTTTCAAATCACCACTTGCATTCTGCACAAAACAACATGAGACAATCTTTCATTGGCTTGTGGCCCAGCAATACCTTCTCTTCTGCTGTAATATACTTGTATATTAGCTTTGGAATTTTTTTTTTTCCCAGAAGAGACCCATCTTATCACAATTAAAAACCTGCTGTGGCAGATAAGCCTCAGAATTCCCAAACTTCTTGAATACATTAATGAAGTTCTTGATACAACTGCCCTTGTATCTGAGTTTGCTACTTCTCTTTACCTCACAAAGCTGTGGATGTTGGTTCTTCTCTTAGAACTTTTTGAACGACCTCCTCTTGCCTTGAATGCTTCTTCATCTGCTGATCCTGGCATCTCCTTAATGAATTTGGCAAAAATTAATTTCACTTTCTCACAAATTATGCTTTTGTTAACAGTGCCTTTGCATTTGTTTCTTGTTGATCCATATGAGAAGCAATCTTTTAATGTTGTCAAGAATATGTGATGTGTGGCCATTGTGTAAAAATACCTGTGACATTCTTTGAAGCATCAATCTCCTTAATCTTAATCCTTTTTTTGTTTTTTGAACATAGTGTTTGATGTAGATTGATTATATTGTGTGATAGGTCAACCATACTCACACCTCATTCTCACTTCTCAGTGATTTGGGGTCTGACTTCTACGATGACTTTTCTTACCTCCGTCTTCTTGCAGCAGTTTCTTTGGGGACTATTATGTAAGCATGCTTAAACTTTGAACTAAAAATATACCCAATAACGTGTTTCAATACAATTTTCACAAGCAACAAGAAGATGCTAGCTGAATGAACACTAAACACAGACTGACAGCAAAATGCAGGCAGGATTCTGCAAATGATGTCACAATATCTCCATGTTACTCCTTCTGCAAAACATTGCTCTCAAAACATCGCTCATAAGGAAGTCATTTTTTAAAATTATGTTTTGCTCATTATGAAAATCACTTATTATGAGAGGTACTCATTAAGCAAGGTTTGACTTACTTTAAATATTATAATAGAAGTCCTGATAAAAAGAAAAAAAAAAATATTCTCAGTAATTAAATAAAACTTTGGTAACTATAGAACAAAAGCTTATTTAGTTTTCACAGGTCATTAAAATCTGACTGAATTTAAATAAATGTTTATACAGCAAAAACTTCACTACTGAACACTAAAGCGCAGTAAATTTACGTCACAGAATATTTTACTTAAAAAAAAAAATCATATATAATTCAGGTCTATCAGTATTAAAGTATTATATTCATAAGATATTCATTGTATGAATATAATACTTTAATGCTGGTAGAAAACAGATATTAAGGATGGATATTTTCTACTTTCATATCTCTTCTTCTCATTAGGTTTCTAATATAAGAAATATGTAGATTATAAAAATAATTAAATGTTACTTCAGGTTATTTATAATGTCTTTTCAAGTTTTTTTTTTTTTTTTTTTTTTTTTTTTTAACTTAAAAGCTCACAAGATAAGGGAGGAACAATAAAAAAAGGAAATTACTATCACCTAAAATCAATGAATGAATGAATGGAAACGTGTACAAATGCCCATAACATATTTAATTACATGTGGTGCAGTTATATGAGTCATAACATGCAAATATCATACAATACAAACCTCACTAGTTCCAGTCTGCAAGTCCTTTTTAAAATTAGCATGTTCACGACTGACTGTTTCAAGTAATGACTTTTGAGAACCTCTGTATTTGCCTGATCGAAAAAAATGCTTTAAACTATTGGTACGCTGCTTTCTCAGAACATTCGACAACTTCAGATTATCATCCTCTGCAGCTTCACTTTTGGGCGTATAGACTTTTGGATTCGATACTTGGGTTTTCAAATTCATTCGATGTGGTCTTTCAGGTTTCATGCGGGTGAAAAAATCTGACACCTGTATATTGCTGAAGATTCCTGGACTCTGTGCTATGCTTGTACCACGTGAATCCGCCAAAGATAGATCTGACAATCGAAATATGTCATCCTGCAGTCAGTAAGAAGATGAAATAAAAAGTATATAAATAATTTAGCTCAGTCACCTTAAGTTAAAAAAATGGAAATATGAATATGAAAAAAATTACATTGAAAACACTGTGGCCTTTTAATTCATCAGGGGTCGGAGGACCTGAAGTATCGCAAGATGGAGATGGATCCATCGTACTATCTTTTGATGGAACCTTCCACAGTTTCTTTTTCCTCACTGAAAATATTTTGATTTCAAACACATTGCTTTCAGGTTACATCCAACTATTGACAGTTTTTATTAAAATACATATCTATTATCAAATACATAAAATTTCATAACACTGAGCACAAGTAATAAAATTTGAGTTCTGGAAAAGCATTTAGATATCAGCAATCAGCTAATTAAAAAACCCTGAGGAAATATTTAATCCTAAAACTGTTTCATTAGTTACATACTTTTGCAAACTCTCTTAACATAAAGTTATCCCCAAACATTTTTTCTCGTTTTATTAATAAATAAAGCAGTATATGCTTTATTTATATTATACTATGCTTTTTAATATTGTCTAAATATTTTATATTTTATTACCTTAATTATATGTGATCTGCTTTACCCCATTACATTTCTTTCATTTCCAGTTTTCCAAACGCTTTGTTTTTCCAGCAAAATACTATTTCAAATGCATATATGTCATTTATTGAATGAAATATTTCATTGTGAAAATAATGTTATCAATGAAAGAAACAGTAAATAGTCATAATCATAAGAGACAATATCCAGGTAGCATGGAGGATAATGGAGAACATCCCAATCAAAAGTTTAGAATTTGTTTCTGATGACTAAAGACACAAAAAGCTTGGAACCATACTGGTTAATACTTTATCTATTAGTTAAAGTTCCTCTTTTTAAAATTAGGCAAAGTAGCAACTTATTTTTGGTGTAGATTTTGAATAAAATTGCATCAGTTTTGAGGGCTGTTTCAAGTAATGAGACACAAGTCCCTCTTCTTTGGGAGCAAAAAATTTTCCAAAATGGGAAATATGACAACTGTATTAGAAGTAAAGCAAACATGAATATGCTGCCTTCTGTCAAGGAAAATAATAATGAAACATGAAAAACTAAGGAATGGTGTCATTTATACACATAAAATAAAATATTAAAATTAATTTGTAACAATTCTTAAAGTCTTTATTTTAATTTGGTTATTTTTCCTCTGTAGCCTAAATTGTAAAATAACTGTAATAAACGTTTTTGAATGTATCATCTCAATCCCTACCATTTGATTCTTAGGCCCAATCATTTTGCAGTTATATTCTTTAGTTATGTTAATTATTCAGGAAAAAACTAGAAGAGAAAAAAAAAAAGAACAGGCATCCAGCAATCAACTTTCTCTTTGTCACATAATCACATTTTAAACTTCTATTGTTATAGATATGTCCATGAAAGTCCTCACCCAGTATTTAGTTTCAAAAGCATTGGTTAAGGAACATATTTCCATTACAAAAATATTTTCAATGACATAAATTTTCAGAGTTTGGAATTCTGAAATTAAAAGCAACAAATTCTGTAATAATTACAAAACTAACTTTTTAAAATATCTCCCAGTTTTTATATTAAGGGAAAATTTATACTCTTTATAAAAAAATAATAAAAAGTCTGACAAAAATTAAGCAAGAATATTTAATTTCAAATTCTGGAATATTTCAAATAATTTTCCACTTGCATTTTACAAATAAATTTGAATTATTCTCAGGTTTATTCTTCTTAAATGCCATTCAATGACATACTTTTGTGATTTAATGGTGACCAACATTTTTTAATATATAACATATCTAAAAATTAAAAGTAAATTGCTATCAGCTACTATGGGGCATTGGTAAGCAATGAGTGGCTCTATTGTCAACTATCCAAAACCTTTTATTTTCTTTTAGAGATTAACTATCAAAACTACATTAAAATTTATTCAAATAAGACATGCTTGAAATGGCAGTGGGAAATTAGAATTCCGCAAAGTGTCAGCTGTAGTTTGTTATGTGGTTTCTCATGCAAGAGGCAGAAGCCCAACATAAATTTATAGACCTATGTGCTGTTTATGATGAATTTATGAATTAACAAAGTTTTAGAGAAAACTGCCAGGTTTTTTTTAATTTGTGACATTCATGATAAATAAAAAATCTGATGTGTACACCACATGACTTCCTTGTATTGGAATATTAAATTATACGCATTTTTTCTTGCATTTCATTTAAACTTATTGGATTGAATTAAATCTACTTCACTGACAGCGCATAAACCACAATAGAATAAATGCATTCTTTAAAATTCACTCTAGTATTTGTTTACCATAGCGACACTCTGGCGCTAGATTCACTTAACAGTATTAATAATTATATAACAGTTAACTTATATAATAATTATATAACGGAAACTAAGTTAACTGTTGTATAATCCAATAATAATATAACAGTTAACTTATATATTTCGTTCATATTATAACTCATAATGCACAAAATTTATATCATTTAAAGAATAGAATTATCTAATCGTTGCCACATGTTCTATTCAAATACTATAATAAAGCTAGAATGATGTATAAAAGAAATTAAGCAAACAAAAAAAAAAGAAACAGTTTTTCACAGACGATTGAGTATTTCTCATTTAATTAATTCAGTTCTCACTTCGCGAGAAGGCAAAAATACATAAAAACTCAAAATATCTATATTAAAAATTACGAAGTAAATCTCAAACACTTATTTCCTCGAAAAAATTCCAGAAAGAATTAAGCATGATTTAATTGGCAATAATAAATGAATGCGTTATCTTTGTTGTTGCGAAGCTAAGTTTCCCTAGATTGGCAACAAATCCACTAGTCTCCCATTTCAAATGTAAACATCAATGGCCGCCATTAAAAAAAGGCTTAGCGGCAATTAAACAACTTTAAAATTGCTGATAATTCTAAAAATATTGCACACAGATTTACTACAGGCATAAAATCCTTAACCGGAAGATAAAGACAATCATTTTTAAAACAAAAAATGTACAATTTACAAACATATAAGAGTAAAGAAACTGAGATCACTGAGCCAGGTAACAGAGTAGATATATATATATATATAAATATGTAGCGTATTCGGAAACTAAGTACCATTTCATTCTAGCGCCGTTGCAGCGCTGTGGTAGGCATCCCGCGCTTGCGCACTAGTCTTTCTTGTTCACTGACTTTCAATTGTCGCCATTTTGGTTGCTTTATGTTGCATTTTCAGTTTGCTGTGCACATTCAAAATGTTTAAGACAATTAGTTCTCCCGCTGACTGTGAGATTTGTGCCATGATTAAATTTTTGAACGCGAGAAATGTTAAACCGGCCGAAATTTATCATCAAGTGGCAGAAGTTTACGGTGAATACGTGATAAGTGATGGAATGGTGAGAAAGTGGGTAAGAACGTTTAATGCAGGTCGAACAAATGTCCACGCCGAGGCTTGGAGTGGTCGGCCTTCTGTTGTCACCGATGATTTGGTAAGGAAAGTTGATGAAGTAATTCATGAGAACAGATGCTTCACAATGACAACTCTTTCAGAGGCATTTCCACAAATTTCACGTACTGTTTTGTTCGAAATTGTGTCTGACTGTTTGAATTATCGTAAACTGTGTTCCCGATGGGTTCCAAAAATGCTCACTGATGTTCACAAAACAAAGCGACTTGGTAGTGCCCTGACATTTCTCACTTCACTGATGAAACTTTAAGTGTGTCATTTCACACCAGAATTGAAACAACAATCGATGGAATGGAGACAGACTCATTCTCCGAAAAAACAAAAGTTCAAATTGACAATATCATCACAAAAAATCATATGTACTGTCTTCTGGGATAGGAAAGGCATTTTGCTTACTGAATTTCTTCCCGGAGGTGAAACCATTAATGCGGCACGATATTGTGAGACTTTAACAAAACTAAGACGTGCCATTCAAAACAAATGAAGAGGAATGTTCAGTAAAGGAATTGTGTTGCTCCATGACAATGCTCGGCCCCATACTGCTGGTGTCACTCAATCATTAATTCGACAGTTTCATTGGGAGCAGTTCGATCACCCGCCGTACAGCCCGGACTTGGCGCCGTCCGACTATCGCTTGTTCCTGCACATGCAGCGTGAGCTTGGTGGCAAGTGCTTTGGATCTGACGATGACACGAAAAATGCTGTGGAGTCGTGGTTATCAAAACTGGCGGGAAATTTCTTTGACGATGGTATACAAAAACTGGTCACCCGCTATGACAAGGTTTGATCATTGGCGGAAACTATGTTGAAAAATAGTTTAAGACATGTATTTTCATGTAAAAATAAAATTGGATTCGAAAAAATTGTTTTACTATTTTTTTCTTTTTTCTTTTCAAAACGGTATTTAGTTTCCGAATACGCCTCATATATTTATATACGTTTGGTGCGGGCGATTGCAACCAAAATACGAGGTACACATCTACATGTTATAGCAGTCCTATATACAAAATTTCAACGTTCTGAGGCTACTTGTTTTTGAGTTATGCGAGATACGTACATATGTACATACGTTCGTACAGACGCCACGAAAAATTCTCTTTAGAATTCATTTTAAAGCAGTTATATAATTTTTTTGAAGGAAAAGAGTATTTTATTCCGTCCTTACATACAGATATCACGCAAAAACATTGTTAAATTGCATTCGATAGCGGTCAAAATGATATTTTTGTTGAAATATGCTGCCTGAAACTTTTTGTGATTACAATACTTCCTGTTTACTTCATACAAGGAAGTAAAAAGAAACCAAGTCATTTTTAATCTCTGAGAATCTTTACCAGAACGGAAATTCATGTTAATTGTATGCCATTATAAGGGACTTGTATTGAATCTTTTCCCAAATCATGAAACTATTATTCACGATACCATAATCAAGAATTAAGAGACAAAAAGTTGCATTAATATACAACCAAAAGGGTTGATGATAACCTTAACTTTCTCATGTCTTAATGCAGAAAAATGCAATAAATTTCTGAGCCCATTGTGTCTGGGGATAAAATTTGAATTTATCTCCTTATAAATGATTCTATGCAAAAATTACTTCAACGGCACAAAATAAATTCCCCACACAACACATATTTAAAGCTTCAGTTTTAGATCATAAAGTTATAGCATTTGCTTTTTGAGACAGACATGAAATTTTGCTGACTGAGTTAATGCAGCCTAGAATAACAAATTATGATACACATTGTGAGATCTTGTAATGATTTTAAGAAGCCATCAAAACAAAAGGAGAGACATGTTGACACACAGTCTTGATCTGTTCCATGATGAGACTTATACCCATGTTATGCATATCACAACTTGTTCCTTGGGAACCTTCAAACTGGAAGTTTTATATCACTCAGCATTAAACCCGGACTTAAGATTCAGAAATTTTTATTACTTCTTTATCTAAAGAATCTTTCCACTAGGCATTAGTTCAGCAATAACAATGAAAGTAAAATAAAAAGTTATGATTTAATTCACACAGCATGCAGCAAAAATTTATGATGCAAGGACATAAAAGCTGATATATAGACTTAATAAATCTTTGGGTAATGGTGGAATTTTATGTAAAATATAGAGCAATTTATGTAATGTTATTTAATGCAAGTCATTTTTAATGAAAGTTTGGTCCATTAATTATTTTTGATTAAATAATGGTCTTTGTATCTTTAATTCTTGGATATGCTTCAGATTATTTCTTTAAAATTAAAATTAATTAAAATTCACTAATTTTATAGTTAAGAAAAAAAGGTGCACAGGGACAATGGAGACTCAGAAAAAAGCACTTAAATCAAACCATAACATAGCTGCCAAACCTGAAATATGAAAAACTGGGAGTTTCTGAGAGATTTTCGTGCTGTGGGGTCCAGATTGACTTAATCACTTTATAACACATGATTCAGGTTATTCAACTGATGTAAAACACATTAATATTCCATTAGATACTCTAAATTTTTAAAACATATTAATATTTTATTAGCTATTCTAAATTTTTATATTCTTTGGCTAATCTCATTTTGTAATTTTCTTAACATTGTTAAACTGAGAAAACACTGAACATAGAAAGTGCAAAGTTATCAAAGTACTATTAAGTGCATTGAAAATATAATTAGTATACTTACTATTGTGAATAAACTTTAAAATGTATCATATATTTATGTAAAAGAAGTTAAGTATAATATTTACTGATTAAAAATCGACTACTGATACTTTAATGTCATTTTATTTAAAAAATAATCCGTTTTATTATGCTAAATTCCGGGTTTAAAATATTATTTATGGCCTCTAAATATTAAAAATTAATTTAATTTTGCAATTTTATTTGATATAAATTTTTATTGTTTATGATATTTTATGGAAATTTATGTTGTGGATGATGTAATGAATGATGTCACATTACTTTAAAAGTAATTGATTTTAATATCTATAAATTTAAGCTAATATTTTAAAAACATTATTTATGGCTATTAAATATTAAAATACAATTTAATTTTGCAGTTTTAAGTGATTTTATTATGTATGATTATTTAAATAATTTTAATTCTATTTGTGATGTAATCAGCTCCCTGATTGGTTACAGATATTTGTGCATTAACAAGCTGTAATCAGCTCCCTGATTGGTTACTGAATATTTGCATATTACCGTGCCATTTTAAAATTTTATTATTCATCTCTTCGAATTCCTTAGATTACATTTTTCAAATTTTTTCCCTTAGATCACATTTTTTAAAATTATATTACATTTTTCAAATTTTTTTCATTGATATCTAAATTATTAGATTTTTTTTGTTGTACTTATCAATATACAACAGGTTAAATACTCAAAAAAATGTAAGTACATTTTTTTTTAACTCTATACTTGTATACTTCAATTTTTATTAAAAAAATTAATACACTGTTTTCAAAAATTGCAGAGATATTTATTGCCACATATATTTTAATGTTAAATAAATATATCCTATAAAACTTATTTTAAAGGATTTGAATTTTAGTAATATTTTAACTCTTTTAAACGTTGGTATGATATTTTTAATTCGATATTCAATTTAAGTAATATTTTAATCCAATTAAACGTTGGCACAATGTTTTATAGCGGTGTTTTTATTCTATTTCTTTGCTATATGAAAGTAATAATTTAACCTTACTTTAGTATTTTATACTCGTAGTAAATGTATTTATTTACATTTGCCTGCCATCTTAAAAAACATTTTCAACAAAAAATTACCGTATTTGACATATAAGATGCACCCTTATTTAGAAGGCCCCACACAAGGAAAAAAAGTTTCAATCTCTTTCAAAACCATAAAAATCCTTTTCACTATCATCATCATCGAAAACGAGAATATCGTCATCACTACTGTTTCCGTCATCGCTAGTATCACCTTCTTCGAATAATGCGTCGTCTTCTGTTCTGTCAAGAGCATTACTGATTCCGCACTTCTTAAAGGACTTAACAATTACTTCAGCCTTTACGTCCTCCCAAGATCTTTTTACCCACTCGCACACTTGTGAAATAGAGGTCCGCTTCATTCTACCTGAGGGTGTGAGGGCGTGATGTGGCTCTCCTATCCATTTGTTCCATCGTTCTCGCACTTTTTCCTTAAATGATTTATTCACTGATACAACTAAAGGCTGCAATTGGCTAGTCAGTCCACCAGGAATGACAGCTATCTGGGTTTTTAATTCTCTCGCTTTATTCTTTATGGTTTCAGTTCTACGGGCGCTAAACTGATCCAAAACCAAAAGAGAGGGTTTTCTTAAGAGTCCACCAGGTTGCCTCGTGCATACGTTCTGTAATAACAGTTTCATTCCAGCTTCGTCCATCCAGCCTTTCGGATGAACATGAACAATTACACCCGTTGGAAGTTTTTCTTTACGACTAAACTTCATGGTTGCGGTGCCGTGCGCTACAATATAACAAGCGGTAAAGTGTCTCATTTACGCCGCTATGTGTCTGTGAGTGCAACTATACTATAACAATAATGAAAAATAACAACAATTACCAGATGATTCTCTGCTAAGAAAATCCTGCATCATGGTCAGTATTCCTTTTCTCTCATATGACATTGGATGGAAAGAGTGGCCCAGTTTTGAAATGCCACTGTATGAACTTCCAGATAAATTATGACTTAATCTATTTCTGTCACTAGAAACTTCACATGGTATTCCATTTACCTACAATTAATATATTATTTCACAATCTCATCAAATGCTTCTAGAAATTCTAATTTATGAGTACATGAGTAAAATGCATATTAAATATTACACAAAATGTGCTAAAGCAGTAGAAATAAATAATATGACTGTAACTGCTGCCTAATTTCCTTTCAAGAAATGTTTATTTCAAATACACATAACTTATAATTTTTTATTTTAAGGGAGCAAACACAATACATGAAATAAAATAAGCAAAAGATTTTACTTATTTTATTAAAAACACCATAAGTTAAGCCTAAGTTTAATTATTTAAAAGAACAAAAAATATTCTGTTAAAGAAATTCTTTTCAATTAAACAACAAAATTAGCATTTTAGATTTTTTTTATTCCTATGACACATTAGATTCTACGCTTAAAAAAATATATTATTAACGTAAAATGTTCCAAAACATAATGATTCTTAAGCTGTGCTTTAATGATCTCTAGAGTTCATGTTATAATGTCAGTTAATAATTGGAGATCTGAAAGTTATTTTTAAAACTACGAGGGCATTTCGAAAAGTAAAGATACACCGTACGTCAGAAGAAAAGAAATGTTTTGGTGAGCAAGTTGGCAACACAGGTGTTAACCTTGAACCGTTAGCTTTCTCCTCGCGGTCGTTCGGCATTTCAATGTTGATTCTGGTTGGTGTAGGTCGTGTTTAAAATGGCTGCGCCAATTCAGAATCCCGCCAAATGCGAAGTGCGCTCCGTCATACGTTTTCTTCATGCAAAAGGTCAGCGACCAGCGAATATTCACAAAGAAATTGTTTCTGTTTATGGGAACATTATGAATCGACAAAATGTAACGAAATGGTATTGTCATTTCTCTGAAGGTAAGACCGATGTTCATGACGAACAAAGAACAGGTCGGCCATCTGTGATCTCTGATGCCCTTCTTCAGAGAACAAAGGAAGCAATTCGTGCGAATAGACATCTCAAATTGAAAGAATTGCATCAGATCATACCGGAAGCGTCAATGACAACTCTTTATGAAGTTGTAACTGTCAAGTTAGGGTACAGGAAAATGTGTGCACACTGGGTTCCAACAGGCGGCAACCTTCTATGACTGTGGGATACAAAAGCTTGTGCACCGACTTAACAAATGTTTAGATAACGGCGGTGATTATGTCGAAAAATAATAAATAATCCAGTTAATAAGACATAACTAACGTTTTCTAAATAAATGTGTTTTTTTTTTTTACGGAATGCAAGCCATTGTATCTTTACTTTTCGAAATGCCCTCGCAGAATCTTCTATATTTATTTAGGAAAAATACAAGAAAGATGCACAATAAAAGTTAAGGTTCAGCCAACTGCGCATGATATGAAGGAGTTTTTAAAGTAAATTCTGCTTAAAGAAAATTCTTAAAGCAAATCCTACATGTTAATAAATTTTGTATACTTAATTTTTTGAGAAGTAATATAAGAATAATTTTTAAATATATACCTTAATACTTTCAAGTCCATCTTCATCTTCATTCAGTGTTTCAAGAGGCACAAATTCAGCCTCATGAGGAGGTATTCTGAAATACATTAGTCTTATTAAATACAAAATTTAAATAACTAATGCAAATTAAAAACAAAACTTTTTGAAAACAAATACAATTTATAATTACACAGTTGTAAGTGCTATTCTTTTTAAATACAATCCCAAAACCTAAAAATATGTCAAAGTTTTTATTTATTAACATTAGATTTATTACTTCCTAGCAATTTAAAATTTAGTGGCTGGGAAAGAAGGATATGCATAAAAAATCAAAATGTACTCAAAAGATGTCATAATTTTAAGCAAATCAATTAAATACAATTAAAATTTATATTGCTTAACTAAAAGATCATTAAGTATTAGAATTTTTTAAAATCTAAATTTAACTGATAAATTAAAGTCACAAACATCTATATTAACAGGCACAAAAAAATTTTTAGAAGAAATCTAAAGAAAATCTTCCACATTCCTAATAAAATTAAAGTTACTTTTTCCACATAGACTTCAAAAATAATACTTTTTAAAAAATACTTGGATTTTTAGTATGCTTTATCCAACACATAATCTCTTTAATATACTAAAAAATGCAGTATCTTAGGTTTTTTTTCCTGACTTTTTAATGCATGGTTTTTCTAAAATCTGAACAAGAACTTAGAATCTCAATTTAGACATGAATTCTGAAAATAAAATCTCACATTAAATTAGCTGCTGAACCCATAGGAGGCTCTGTATAGAAAGGCATAGCAGCAGCAGTGTAAGGAAGATCAGGCATTACTTCATCCCAATATTGATCTTTTATTAATTCTGGATGCTCTTGATGCATTTCATCAACAATCAGATAAGAAACCTGGAATGATTCTTTTTAGTTACAAGGAAATGCTAAAAAATAACAAAATGAAGTAAAATAGAGGGTTGGCGGAAAGTAACTCCCTAATTTTGAATTTGGAATAGCTATTGATGTTATGAGTACACTGCAATGAAAGTTACCTTGTTTTGTTGACTGTAGTGTGGCACTATTTGTCATATTTTTTTTTTCATAATATTCTAATATTTTTTCTATCTTTTTTTTCAGAGCCTGTGAATAAGAGATGTCACAACGATTAAGTATTCGGGACAGAGCAAAAATTGCAGCAAGTTATGAGGTGTGGCAATCTGTAACACAGCCACTGTTAAATCTGCGTTACAGATTGCCCCACCTTCCTACTTTGCTGCAATTTTCGCTCTGTCCTGAATACTTAATCGCTGTGACATCTCTCATTCAGAGGCTCTTGGGGGGGGTTGGAAACGAAAAAGAAAAAATATTAAGACACATAAAAAAAGAAAAATATTACAAATAATGCCACACTACAGTCTACGAAACAAGGTAACTTTCATTGCAATATACACATAACATCAATGCTATTCCAAATTCAAAATAGGGAGTTACTTCCCCCCACCCTGAATGTTTTCCTCATTACATAAAATATTTTTAGAGGAACCACATCAGCATAAGCTGTAGTTTTTGAAGCATTGTTTGGCTCATCCATTATGATCCCTGATCAAAGTTTCTTTTTCTTACTCAATACCCTCTTCAGGCAAACTATTATCAAAATTTCTAATGTGCATGGTTTGTTTTTTATTCTGTTTGATTTTTGAATCTTAAGAAAACAAATAAAATAATGAAACTAGAAATTGAAACTTTAAAGTTAATTACTCAAATAAAATAACAAAGATGGAATTATACAGAACTAAATAAAATGTATTAAAAATACAAGGTAACCAAAAAAATTGTTGCCATTTCTGATATGACATTGGAAGAGTGAACCTCAACATAAAAATAGTTGCCAAACCTGGCAATGAAGTAGTTAGGATGGGAGTCCAGACATTGACCAAAAGTATAAAAGTGCATTGCATCCGTACTTCAAACATACTCACACAGCGACTGTCTGAAATGGACGCATCAAAGGCACTCTTTCGGAGTCTTTTGCAGTATGATTTTAAAGTTGGCCTGTCAGCAGCAGAATCAAGTCACCAAATTTGCGGGGCCTTTGGGGATGATGCTGTTAACAAATGAACTGCTAGACAATGGTTCCAGAAGTTCAGGTCAGGGATTATGTTTCTTAATAATGCACCCTGCAGCAGTTGGCTACACAAGCACTGGACGATGAGGTCCTGAGAGCAGCCATAGAGCGTGACAGTAGCCAAACATGTGGTGAGCTTGGTGCGCACTTGCAGGTATGTGATAAAACGATCAGACTCCATTTGCACTGCATAGGAAAGGCATACAAGCTGAGCAAGTGGGTACCCCACTCCCTGTTCGATGCAAACAAACAACAGCGTGTCGCTTCCTGTTTATCATTGCTTGTTGGCACCGCAATGCATCCATATTTGATTGAGTACTCACCAGCGATGAAAAGTGGGTTCAGTATGACACACACAGCCGTTCCAGACATTGGTTATCACCAGTGCCATAGCTAGGGTGAGGCAAGGGGAGACACCTATCCCTGGGTGCAGTATCCAGGGGCCACTAATTTGATGTTATGAAATTTTAGAATTAAATCTTTCCCATTCTTGGCACATAGAAGGGGACACAAAATCTTCAGATGCCCCTGGGCGATGAAAACCCTAGCTACGGCTCTGCTTGTCACTACCGGACCCTGTGCCTGTGCCACAATGTGATACCTTCTCTCCACCCATGCAAGATCATGCTCTGCATCTGGTGGACTAGTCGCCAAGTGGTGCACTATGAGCTCCTGCCAGTGGGCCAAACCATCATGGCAGGCCTGTACTCACAGCAGCTGGAATGTGTACATCAGGCACTGATTCATAAAGAGCCAGCATTGTTCAATCGTAAGGGTGTACTCCTCCTCCATCTACAAATGCCCATGTCTTCTCCAGACCTTTTGTTATGGTAGTCAGTGTCACTATAACATCTGGACTATTGATAAACTTTCTATATCATATATATTGTAAAAAGAATGAAATTATACATAAAAATAAAATGGTTGATAAATTTGATCAGCAATAATAAGATGTTTATTAATATGAAAGAAGGATTAACTTGTAAATCTGAACCTTGATATTTTAAGAAAAATAACTTTTGCTAATTAATTTAGATTTTAAAATGTTATCAAAGAATACAAGTATTAAAATTTTGTTGATACTAAGCTTGTCAAAAAGAAATAACATGCACAGAATAAAAAGTTATAAGTTTCAGGTAACCTATTTAGTTCTTTGATTAAGAAGCTTATATTTCAGTTTTACTTGCATTTAAAATTTTTAATGAAAAGGACAACACAAAAAGCAATCACCATGATACCTGCAAATATAGTTTGAAATTATCATAATTTCATATATAAAATCCCCTTTCCTTTTTTCAACAAACATAAATATATTTAGTTAGTAATATTAACCAGTATAGAGTACATAAAAGAGTTTTATGCTATGGTAATTTTTCAGCATAATACAGTATTTTGACTTCACACAGTTTATGCAGAAGTTAGCTTCAATTTGACTGTAAAAACATAGCCTCTTGATAACAATAAGGAAACTTTCCTAGTTTTGTTACAGTGATATACATATAATATTTAAGTTTTAATTAATTCAGATGAAATTTGAGACAAAAAGAAAGCATACATGAAAGTATAAATAAAACAATAATCTAAAATTTTGAATTGCAAATTGAAACACATATATTACAAAGATAAAAAGTACATTAAACTGACTGATATGAGCGGTGAATATCACAAAATAAATTATAAAACTGAGTTATTCATATTTCAATTTGTGACTTCAACACAGAAAAAAATTACTTACACAGATTAGTCATTCCTATTTGGTTTTGATTTCAATAGAGAGAAAATAGCAAAATGTTTTATTTTCTGATTTTTATGCATTAAATACTGCTAAGCCTTTTAATATAAATCAACTGTTACGAATAATTTATATAATAGCAGTAAATTTGCCATCCTGTTGATGTCCGAATCCTAAAGAAAGCATCCTAGAAGTTGCATTTAAAATACACAGTGAGTCGAAAGTCCTTCTGAGTGGTTGGTGGTATGGAAAGAGAGGTGTGGGAGACACTCACCCCCTCCAGGATGTTCTCTCTCAAAATTACGGCAGAAGTTTAACAGTTAGCTACGTCTGGTGGTACCTAATATACCTACAGAAATATGCAATGCCAGCCTTGCTTCATCTGCACCTGCCATGGCACTGGCCCAGGGTTTGAATACTGGAGAAACCATGAGTATTTTTAGTTGTCTTTCGCTCTTTCTATGAGTGTAACATTGTTGTACACCCCGGAGTACCACAGCCAACATTCTCAATAATTTATATGGCTAACTAAGTGATGGATTAAATGAGATTACTAAAAGGTTTTTGAAACAAACATATATCTGGTGGTTCAAAATGGTATGAAAAAATAGTAAATTTATAACAAAGAAATAATAAATTTAAAACTATTATTACATAATAAATTTATATACGTAAAAATTGCCTTAAAACTCACCTGAATGTCTCTATCTATCACCCAATTAACTTCAAAATCATCATCATCCTCACCAAAAGGATTAACTAAAGTTTCAGCAACCTATGGGGGCATGATAAACTTATGCATTACACATATGACAGGAATACAGAATTAATATATTATAATTTTTTAGACACAAAATATCATAATTTCCTCTAAAAAGATAACAGCTAAATTTAAAAGTAATTTATGAAATGACTTCAATTTGGTCTTTTTATAAATCACCTACTTATAAAATACTTATATTACTTATATATAAATCACTCAAGGCTCTTACTTTTTTCAGAATCTTTAATTTCTAAGATTTAAAGGAATCCATATATTAATGAAATGTGCATATAATTATGAGTCTGAATAAATGAAATTATACACTATATATTATGCATAGAAAATCATCTATATGTAGAGCATGTTTACACACTTTTAGAACGATTTTGATAAAGAATTAAAACTATCCAATGTAGATACCACATGATTTTTTGCACAGCCTATTAACACTTGGCATGCGGGCAACGTATTTTTACGTTTTTTGCAGTCTGTCATTGAAGCGCAGGTCACATAAAAATACGTATTTAGCAGATTTGTGGTGGACCCGCTAACCACCACAAATTCTATTAAATATGTAAAATTATATGTATGTGTGACATTATATGGGTGTTGTTTGCGTTGCTAGGCAACGCTTTGCATTTTTTCTTTCAACAAGTTATGATTGTTGAGTTACTTGGTCTTTTGTTGAGTTATTTCATCTTCAATCGAATGATAGTGATGAAGAAATCTGCGCTGACAGATTATCGAACTTTTAGTATGATAGTGATTCTGAAAGTCAAGATATCGAAGAAAGTGACGATGAGATTATTCCACGTTCTCGAGTGTTCGTCTGAAGAAGAATTTCTAGCAGTTCTGAAGCAACTTCTGATGAAGAAGCAGATGAATGGTCATCGATTGACAATCCTCCAGACCTTGAAGAGTTTTTGGGTCATCCTGGGATAACTAACATGGCTAATGTTCCTGAATCCACAGCTGATGCAAGTTATTTATAGGCGATGATGTTTTTTGCATATTTAGTCGCGGAATCAAACAGGTATTATTATCAAAATAATGAATCAGTTCAAAATATCTCCCAAAAGCATGAAATGGAGAGATATTACGATTCCGGAGATGACATTTTTGGGGCTTATTATTTTCATGGGACAAGTTCGTAAAGACGCCCGAGACGATGATTGGTCAACTCATGTCTGCACAAGTACACCGTTTTTTTTCAAAAACAATGTCAAGAGATAGATTTCGCCAAATATGGAAGGCTTGGCATTTCAATTACAATGGAGACATCATGGACGATTCTGATCAATTATTCAAAGTCAGGCCTATACTAAATTATTTTGTTGAAAAATTCAATAACATTTACAAACCGAAACAACAAGTATCGTTAGATTAGGGCATAATACCTTGGAGAGGACAATTGTTTTTTAGAGTTTACAATGCTGGAAAATTATAAAATACGGCATACTCATACGAATATTGTCTGAAAGTGACACTGGTTATATTTGCAATTTTGAAGTTTATACAGCTCAAGGATTACGTTTGATTGAAACGATACTCACAGTAGTTTTGCCATACATTGATGTCTGGCACCATTTGTACATGGACAATTACTACAAAAGCGTTGATAACACGGAAGCCCTTTAACCTTTTTTTTTTTAACAAAAAAAAAAAAAAAAAAATACGAATTTGTGGAACAATTAGGAAGAATAGAGGTCTACCAAAGTGCCTGAAAAAAACTAATTTGAAAAAAGGAGAAACAATCTTTCGAAGAAAAAATTACCTATTGGTATAAGTTTGGCAATCCAAGAAAGAAGTCAGTCTCATCTCTTCAATCCATTTCGTGAAAATGAAAGAAAGTAGTAATGTTGATCGTATCAAGAGACAAAAAATTATAAAACCAAATGCTTTGATCGACTACAACAAGTACATGAAAGGAGTAGATCAGGCCGATCAGTATTTGTCCTACTACAGTCAAAAGTCTTTAATCCGGACTCGTCGGGACTTCGGCGATTCCGGATTATCGATTTTTCCGGATTATAGATCATCAGTTTAAATCTGGTAAGATGGCATGCAGAAATTATAAAATTAAAAATATGAAACCGTAATTTATAAAATAATGAGCAATTATGATCTAAAGGATATCCAAATTTACCAAAAAAGAAGCCTAATATTTATTTGTTTACTTTATTAAACATTTCTTTTAACGCGCGGATGCGTAAAGCATACCTTACTCATAGCCGAAATTAGAAAATTGCAACCAGAAAACTAATGCGATTTGTATTCGTGATATTTATAATGACGAGGAAATTTGATTTAAATCATATCAAAGACGGAAGTACATCGAAATTAAATACTACATTTAGTAAGGAATTATAAGCCGACTAAAATAAAACATCTGCCCTGAAGATAACGATAGTGTTGACAGATCAACTTCCAGTTCATTGCGCGCCGCGACGTGCCCCCCCCCGCGCAGAGCAGCGTGAAATTGATAAACAGATTTCGGAACGGTTAGATAAAAACAAAGGATATGCTTTTTATCCATTTTTTGTAGCAATTCGTTTTTGTTTGATGGACATCGAAACATACTTTCGTTTTGTAGATCCTTTGGAAGCTCCAGCATCGGAAATTCTATTTGACATAATCGAAAGTTCAAAGCTTACTTTTATAAAATTGCTCTTACAGTCTGCAAAAAAATAATAAGCCGGATCCAATTTGAAGATTAAGGAACAACGCAATTATCAACATTAACTGAAATAGATAATTAGATAATTTTAGCTTTTACCGTCCGTTATACATTAAACGCGCACGCGAAAACGTATTCTGCACTTGCGCAGATGCATATGCGCAGTCGTAAAGGTCTTGCGCGCACGAGGAAAACGCCTATGCGCATGCGTCAATGCGGCGCATGCGCAGAAAGATTTTAGCTTTGAGGTCCGGATTATAGATCATTCCGGATTACGGGTGTCCGAATTAACGACTTTTGACTGTATAGTATTTTGCGTAAAACAGTGCAGTGGATGAAGCGCTTAGCTATGTATATGATGAATTGTGCATTTTTCAATGCATATGTAGTATACAATTCGACAAAGACACAAAAAATAAAATACAAGAAATTTTTGCACGACATTGGGTTACTGATGAACTACCTGAAATCAGTACTGAAGAACCAGAGCAAATGATATCAAAACATGACTCTCCTGGAAGATTGTCCATGGATGTGCGCAAAAATATATTTGAGAAAATTGTTGGTGCCGGGAAGAAGAAAAATCCACAAAGACAATGTCGCATGTGCGCAGTCAAAAAAGTGCGAAGTGAAACGTGTTTCATATGTAGCTTCTGCCATGTTCCTCTTCATAGAGGTAAATGCTTTGAATGGCACCATACTGTAAAGAACTATTAACGTGTTATCAGTTCTATTTGCACTTGTTATGAAAAAATATTATTGAATATATTGTAAAATTTTAAAAATCGTTTATTTTTGTAATTTCATAAAAATATTTTTTTTTTTTTTTTTTTTTTTTTTGTTAAATATAATCATACAGTATATATTTAACAGGGTTCGTACATATTTCCTTACACGAAAATTAAGGACTTTAAGGGACCATCAAAGAAAAAATTAAGGACCTATCAGCAAACAACAAAAATGAATAGAATAAAAGCAATTATCCATACAAACCGACTTCATGCTCGTAATTTCACTTTAAAAACTAACAGAAGTGTGTATTATGCACTATTATTAAATTCAATTTTATACTTACCATAAAACAATTTTGTACATTAAACTAACTCCCTACAAGTTATGAAGTAGCTAACATTAAATTAGGAACATAATTTCTTGAAAAACATGTATAAGTGCATTTTACACTAATAACAGTCACAGATATTTTAGAGATTTACATGATTATTATTTAACTTATTTGATATTTATTTAAACACAGTCAGTAGTATTATAATCACAATGTAAGAATATTTTGCAGATTAAAATAACAGATTTGTAAACATACAATTTATTTCTTTGGTTTTTTGAGATCTAGAATAATAAACTGTACATAAAGTACAAAACATTTATGCTTTTTTAAACTGAAATTTTTCAAGCTATTTAACATTTAATTTATTTATGTCTACTCCTTTTCTTTAACTATTCTTCTAAGTTCATTTGCTTGATAAACAAATCAATGTTCCTGCTGGGCTCAGCTTCATCTGCTAAAGCATCTACTTCTTCATTAATATCTTTAAGTCCCTTTGAAGAAATTTTTTCTTCTGCTTCATATAATCAATTTCTTCCTCAATAATATTTCTTTTCTCTTTGAATTTTCAGATTTAGTTAAAGATTTTTGTTTTCTAAAATACTGCATATATTTGACCTTGCAGAAGCTGCTGCTGATCTCAGTTTCTTATTAATTCGATATTAAGAATACCTCCAGAAAATTTTATGTAATCAAATTGTGCGTTGAAAAATGTATGATGAGTCATTAAATTTTCAATTTCATTGCTTTATTTACAGAGAAGCCCCTTTCCACAGAGGCTGCCATGTGAAAAGATAAGATCATATTCCTATTTTCCATACTTTTGAATAGTGAAATTCATGAAAATAAGAAGTGAGAAATGAGTCAAGAGAAAGATTTTGAGGATCAAAGTAGAAAATTCCTGTAAATTTGTCTAACTACTTTGCCTAGAAACTCTCCAAACTGCAGCAAATTTCATCACATCATCTTGTAAACCGTTTATTCCGCATTAATACCGTTAAACTATTTTCATTTGGCTTTTTCTGGGCTTTTTCTGGACTTGTACCATCAATCAGGGTCTATACAAGATCATTTCGAATACGAGAATATTTATTGGACATTTAGACATTAAGTGTTGTACCCTAGTTTTAGATACATTGTTGACCTTCTGTTTCAATGTAAAACTTTCAGCTTGTAAATGTCCCTTCTTACGGCATTCATCATCATTAACTGCTCAGCATGAATTCCAAATAAACTTTACTTTTAGCATTATAACAATTTTGATCATTAAAA